TAATTAAGTAAGGTAATATTACTCCTACATGATGTTTAAGATTATGAAACTGGTAAAATTGTGCTCCACTAAGTTAAATCCTTATTCTGATGAACATTTCATATCAACAGTCATTATATTATGTTTTACACTGAACAGGGTTCGATATAATTTCTTATATTCAGGTGAACTAAAAGCCTGGACCACAATTAAGTTAATCAATCAATTTTAGATAGCTAGCTATTTTCCAAGCAAGAGAGAATAATGAAACATTGGTTACTAAGCATAATTTAAAATTTAAGCGCTTTCGCCTCTTAATTTTATATGCCATACAGTCTTGGGTCAAGTTAATGAACGTGTTGATTTGGAAGTGTAAAAGTGATCTCTGTGGCCAAAGAAGTGATATTATGCACATCACAGACTTCGTCAATCTGCTGAAATGCTTGTGTATGACAGGCAGTTCTCAGTTGTCTGCCCCCAGCTTTCTCTATGAAATAGAAGTTATTCTCTTTAGTTCAAAGTCGTAATTAATATGGATGATTGAGAATATGCGAGGAACCTGGAGAAACATAAGAGCCTATCTGCCTTTGTTTTTTCAAGCAAGCTGCTCCAGAACATGAAAGAGGGTAGGTGCAGGATGAAATATATGAAGTGAATTTTTATTTTCCTTGGTTTATAAAATCTGATAATACCTTAACCTTGGAAAAAGCATGAAATATATTAACCTTGTGGAAAGTTCTCTCAGTTCTAAAGGGCCAGCCAGTTTTCTTGGTTTCCTGACCAATGTCTTCATGTTCAATATGAGATAATATTCTTCATGTTCTGTTTAATCTTCTCAGATAGCAAAGACTCTGTCTGGTCAGAAGAAATTGTTTGTGTTTTAGGTTGATTTTCTGTTTGATTGTTATTAGACAAAAACAAAGAACAAAAGTTTGTCACTTATGAAAGAACTGAAGTTCTTTACAAGCCTGAGTTACTTTAAGGTGCTTCATAGACCCTTAGATAAATAATCAACTATTATTTTCCAGACAGTCACAATCACATCCTAATTGACTGTCCAAATCTTCACTGACAAATTTCCCCAGATTGGGTCCTAATTGGGTTAAAAAAAAATAACAAAATGTTGTATATTTTCTATAGCTATCTGAAAATCACTAGTAGACCATTGGAAAAGGCCATTATAGAAATTTTTTTTTCTCTTGCTTAGAAAAAGACAGAGATGTTAAAAATAATTTGGTATGTTGGCTTTACTGATAATTTATTAGATTCACTATTATAAGATATGTGCCTGAAGAACTGTCAAATCAGAAGGGCTCATGGGCCTCCCTGCCTGTGATAAGGTCCTGCCCCTCACAGGCAGAAACCTCTGCCATGGACCTGCCCCACCCACCCATCCACCCCCACCCCCCCACCCCCTGGTTGGGGCAACTCTTTCTCTTAGAGCTTCTAGGGGTTGAGAGGATTTAAGAGTCCAAAGGATTTAGGGGAGGCAAGAGTTCGGTGATTGAAGGGAACATAGAATAAATTTCTCTTGAATGCCTTCTCTTCTCTCCATGCTCACAGGCCCACCACCTTCCAGATGTTCCCTTTTCCACGTAATCAGAGCAACCTTTCTAAGCCATAGAGAAGCAGAACCATTAGAAGGTATGGGTGGGTGGGTGGGTAGATGGATAATAGATGATAGATTTAGTACACAGATTTGATCTTACACAATTATTAGCAGTTGCCTTTACATCTAATTTTAGACTTGAAGTCTTCAGGGCAGGCAATCAGGAAGGAAAGATGGATAAACTATGGAGGGAGAGCAAAGACAAGCTATAACACAAAAGAAAAACCTTGCTGAACATGTGTCCCATAGCAGCTGACCTTGGAGCATGGACAAAACCCAGCTGTTCTAGAATATCATAAGAAAGTTTGCAGGTTTCTCAGGTTCTCTCTGCCCAAATTTAGGCCATCATTTTTCTTTCATTGTAAGGAGTTTCATCAAGTGGACATCTCCCTAATCAGCCTGAGGGGACTCTTCACTTCTTACTTCCTGTCTCACTCGTCTCTCCTCCCCTCAGCCTGCAGGTCCTTCCATATAGTCTGTGTGTTGGAGAAACAGAAGTTTCTTGGCCAACAAAACTTTTGGGCCACACTTCCAGAAGTGGATTTTCAATATATAAAGTTACCTTGTGTTTCTTATCCTCTGCCTCCCCGAGCCTTCCTGAGGAAGTGGCCAGCTCACACAGCACTGCTGGGGCACAGGGACCAAGAGTGGATGCCGGAGGGTAGGAGGATGGAAAACGGGTCCTGAGAGCAAACGGGGATCTTTGAGAGAAGGGAAGTATTTATCAATTAATACTCCAGAATTTCCCCCCAACACAAATACTCTAAAATAGAGAACCTAAGCATATAATTTCACAAATACCTTACTTCTTTCGAAGAAACACAGCTCTTTCCTCCCAACATACCTGACACACACACACTGCACTTGATTCAGCTAAGACATTGTCTTTGACTTTGGAGGTGGCACAGCTATGGTTTCTGGAAGAGGAACCTTCCATGGACCCTGAATATGAACTCTTCTGGTGTTCTAGGAATGAAGGAGCCTGAACACAACTTGGGTTGCTTCTCGGTAATATCTCTCTCCCTAGACAGGGCAGGCTCTCTTCCTCTTCCTATAAAAATGATGGATCCTCACAGGTCAGTGATCTTCTCCTAAAACAACCCACTCCTTGTGCAGAAATCCATCAGGGCCCACCTGTGCCATTTGTCCCCACCCCATAGGGCTGCAGGTCATGGAGAACCAGCAAGAATATGAAGCTCTGACTATAGATTTTGCTGTGAGTAATAGGGTTCTTTTTTTCTGACCTAGATAGGATAGTAGGAAAAATAAAACCACTCAGTCCATTTTTCCAAGTAGAATGAAAACTCAAACCATTGACAGCTCCTTTCAATACTGGTCTCTCAATGTCGTCTCCAAAAGGCACATTGATCATCTTAACTGCCCTGTGTGTCTTGGCCATGTGTGACTTCCACTAAGATCCTGCTATGTAATATAAAGAAAATGAGCAGCTTCTGGTAGCAAAAAAGCCACCAAAGTCAATATAGAAATTCATTGTCCTGGCTGGACTTGGCAGGCACCTGTGCCTAGAAATCCAAAGCCCCGTAATCAAGACACCCAATAAGTTGGCCAGTCATGAGCGCCTGGCCAGTGATTTGAGTTGTGTTCTTGATTTGGGAGAGAAAGCATCTACCGATCCAACCCAGCTTCTTAACCCACTGCTGGTAAATGCTTGCCATTTTCAGACTCCTTACAGGCCTTTCAGACAAGTTTTCAAACCTAATTAAGCTTAGCATTATCATTGTTTTTATCACATCAAGTTCCCACTTGGCCCTCAGCCGCAGAGACCTCAAAGTCAGCACTGCGTCTTTAAACAGAAACAACAGATTTTGGTTCAATTAAAAATTCATTAAAATGCAAATTAGTTTGTAAATTTTTTCCCCTCCTTCTGATGATTCCTCAACATGGCTTTTTAATCATAACTGGTGCTAAGGGAGGGGTGAGCTCACGGATAGAAAGGAGTAGAGAGGGGCAGCCAGACCTTGGAGCCCCTCTCGCTGTTAGGGGGGCATGCTTCTATGAATGCCTTAACCCCTTCTTGACCCCCTCATAGCTGCACTTTATTCCCCAAGGGACCAGTTTTAAACTCATTCTTGCGAGGGGCTTGACTGATAAACTCAGTCATTTTTCTGATCTCCATCTCACTGAACGATGTGATCTTAAGGGAAAAGCCAGGATAAAATGAATAATTAACCTTATCCATCTAAATTCCCTGGCCTTTCTGTAATATTTTTGATAATGCTCTCGTGGAGATTTCTCCACTAATAAGGCACCAAATTTGATGAGGGGGCTTTTGCAATGACTTCAAATGACAATTAACTCCCCAAGGGCTCAGGCAGGTAACCTCTTTACCAAATCCTTCCTAATGACTGAGACCACAGAGGAACATCTACAAACTAATGACAATGTCTACTGTATACAGAAACCACAGGGCTTTACTCTCTATTCTCTCAGCAGTCTGAACAGCAACTTCAATGAGGTCTGTATTGTTATGTCTGGCACAGAAAGAGGGAAATCGAGGTTTAAAGATTTTGAGATACTTGCCAAAGTCATTGTTATTATTTGAGGGTGTGCCCCATATTTTATGTGCCACGCACTTAATTCCCAAGTTCATATGTTAATGGTATTTAGAAGTGGGACCATTGGGAAGTGATTGGGTCATAAGGGCTCTGCCCTCAAGAGTGGATTCATACATTCAAGAACTATTGGATGGAAGACTTATTGTGTTATCTCAAGAGTAGCTTTGCGTTCTCCCTGATTGCTTGCTCTGTCTCACCATGTGATGAGGGCATAATATGCCCTCTGCCATATTATGATGCAGCAATATCGTAATATGTCTTCTCCCAAAAGGCACATTGATCATCTTAACTGCCCTGTGTGTCTTGGCCATGTGTGACCTCCACTAAGAGAGCATGTGGGTTCAGGTCCTGAACACCCAAGAACAAAGCTCTTTACCTAGCACAGATCGCATGACGTTTTGTTTCTGTACCATGTAACCGGCTCAGCTTGCTGTTTCACCGAATTGGCCAGCTGTTACATTCAATTGATCTCCAGACAGGTTGAAAGTCTACCCTGATGCTGGCTTTCAAGAAAACCATGTCATGCTGCCTCAGACTGGAGGAGAGATGTTCTCATCTTCCTGCTTACTGTGGGAAGCCAAGCAGCTACTCCAAGTTCATTAGATGTCCCTAATTGCTGAGAACACATTCAGGAAGTATGGTAAATGCAACTTAATTGAGAACTAATTAACTTGTTATAGTTATCTCGTTATATGCCAATTAAAGGTCTAAATATTCCCTTTTTCTCAGATAAAGGGATGGAGTGGTGGGGTGGGGGTGGGTGGGGGGGAATTGTGATGAAACTGGATCTCCAAATGAGAGAATTCCAGTAGCAGACTCCGGGTAGGTATCAACCCTGCAGGGGCAGTAGTGAGGCCTTGAGGTCCTGAAGTAGTGCAGCTCATTAACGCCATTTTAAAGCAAGATGTTCAAAGGCAACGGACAGATTTTGACTTTCAGAAGAATTCTCCAATAAATCTGGTGTGAAATGGGATTTGGCCCAAAGGTCCCAGGAGATAGAACCTGGCAAAGGCTGTTCCTACCACTCGGCTTCTCTCTAGCTATTTAAGGTTTGGGCTTTTTATCCTTTTGTTTGCTTTTAATCTACCCTTTTCTGAGGAAATCCAAGGAGACCTTCCGTGTAACTGCACGCTGTTATCAGGAACATATTGCCAGGGCAGGGCTCGGTTTCAGCTCAGCTCCCAAGTAATCATTTGCTTTTAATCTGTTTTCAATGGCAATGTCGTTTAACCCCCTCCTCTGCTGAGTTGCCATGAGCTCTTCCAAAGAGCATCACCAGGGGTGGAGCTGCTGAGCGGTGCTTCCCTAGCAGACCCCCCAAAGAAAGGGGAAGAAGGGAATGTGGGGTGAATAAGCCCATTCACTGTATTTTATTTTCAGCCCTGATGTTTCTTTCTAAAGCAGATCTGTTTAAATCACTGAGAAAAGCAAATTCTATTTATTTCCATCAGAAACTCAAATCAATACCTGGTCCTGGCAGATGAAGAGAATCGGGTCCTGTTTTCACCGGCATGCTGCCCCTGGAACCGATGGGCCAGAGAATCTGGGCTGCCTTACTGAGATCAGTTGACACTGTGTGAGGAAAGAACGTATCTGGTTTTTCATCTTAATGAAAAGCAGTCATGGCGTTGTGAAATGCTCGCTTGACTCCCCCAACCTCTGCAATTTGACAACTAGGGCTCTTTACAGACCTTTCTGGCTCCCTGACTCATTTAAGAATATTTGACCATATCATTCCAAGGCATCTCCATTCCCCCTTTCCCAGTCACTGTTTTATTCTCTATTTTAGGACCTGGTGGTGTGAAGGTAGTTTGCAGCATTCCTAGAGAGAAAACAAATACTGAAGCCCCATCCCTGGGGAGAGCTGTTTACTTACTCTGTGGCCAAACAGGACAGCCAACCTCCCAATCCATGTAGGTCTCTATCAAAGACCTTGATGGGATTCCTTAGTCTGGGTTTTAATGACAGCAACAAAAGAATTGATCAAAGATGAAGATCCCATCCTCTAGAATGAAAACGATAGAGTGATTATTAGATAGTCAGTTTAAGTTGCAGTGGATGCAGAAAACTATAAATGATACACAGTGAGCTTCTGATATGAATTTACAATTTCTTCTCACCACAAAAATATCATGGCCCCTCCTTGGTATCCCTAGAAGTTTGCCTGCCATCTGATCCATCTGGATGTTTGGAAATGTATCTTACTGCCTAGGTTCTGCTTGTGGACTTCCACTGAGTCTCCAACCCTATTCTTGTTCCACTTCTATGTTGGAACAAGGCTTCTTTGTATCAAGCCCTTGCTATTTGCAGAAAACACTCAATCTCTGCTTATGCGTTTGTTCAAAGTTCACTTTAAGTACACGGTATTTATCAACTGTATTGCGCTGCAAAATGCCTGCCACTAGTTACACATTATGGGGAATAGCTTCTTTCCCTACTTTGCACAGTCCCAGCGGCTTTCTGTCTGTGCCTCTCTCAGGTAAGCCCTCTGTTTTCTCTGGCCAGCTGCCTCTGCTTTCAGCCTGTGTCCTGATGATCGATGGCATATTTCAAACTATACTCCTGGAGGGCCGGAAAGTAACTACCAGTTGGAGACGACATTAACGGAGTTCTTCTATTGTATGGAAATGAGCTTTCTGGGTTCAGATCCTCTTGGTAGAAGACTGGTGACAGAGGTCTAACCCAGGCTTCAGGGAGGAGGGTGATGGTGGCTGCAGGAAGATGTGGCTTCTGCAAGTGGATGGCTATCAATGCTGGATTCCCATTTGAATCTTCTGGGGAGCATATGAAAGAATATGACTCCTTTGTTCCACCCCGGGGTTTTTGTTGGATTTGCCGGGGGGTTGGGGGGGGGGGGGAATCTGGGATCAGGAACTTGTTTCAAGTTCCCCACATCAGACTTAGAACCATTGGTCTAGTGTTGAACCAACTCAGAGTCCATTAGAAAAAGCTGAGATTCATATTCAGGGGAAAGCACGTGTTATCCTCAAGTTCAAATGATCAGCACCGGACTGAAGTCCAGATTCAATGTCAAGAGCCAAAAGTGGAGCAGAAATGGTACATGGTGTTTTTTTAAAATTAGCCAAGCATCACAGGGATCCAGAGGGGCTGTGGCAAATTCTGTGGCCCCCACAGTCTTGAGTCCCACGGCATCTCCGCCTTGAAGGCCAGAGGTGCCTGGAGCACCATTGGTCAGATTGGCTTGATACCTGAGGCAAGATCCACGGGGTCTGTGACTTCCTGCTGGAGACATTATCCACCCTTTTGTCTGCAGTCGCTAAGGTTGAATCATGTCATTCCAGTACTACACAGATTATAATGACAAATATAATGGTGTAAAATCATAGAGTGTTAGAGCTGGAAGAAATGACTGAGTCCAACCCCCTGCATTACATCAAAATCAGAGCAGCACATGATTCTCCTCCCCCAGATCTTCACAATAAAGACTAACAGACTCAAGTCAGAAGTTCATAAAGACAAGCAGAAGTGGACTGAAATTTTAGTAAGAAAGTCTCAATTATCATCAATTCCCTTAACATAGGGTAGTGGTCAATGTGAGATCATCTCTAAATGGGCCTTTTCCAAACTCCAGTGTGCTGAGAGGGAGTGTGTTAAAATGCGGATTCCTTGGTCCACTGAAAAAGTCTGATTCTGTAGGTCTGGGGCAGAGCCCAAGAATATGTATTTTAAGCAGGTGAGGGGCCCCACTCACCCAGGGATTCTGATACAGATAGTTACAGAGTCGGTTTTTTTTTTTTAAGAGAGAGATTTTTTTTTAAAGAGATAGATAAAGAGAGAGAGAGGGAGAGCATTTTTTAATATTTATTTATTTTTTTTTAGTTTTTGGCGGACACAACGTCTTTGTTTGTAAGTGGTGCTGAGGATTGAACCCGGGCCGCACCCATGCCAGGTGAGCGCGCTACCGCTTGAGCCACATCCCCAGCCCCTAGAGTTGGGTTTTAAGAAGTGTCAGTTTAAGCAGGAATGTCATTGCCTGACTTCTGGGCAAAACAACAATATTCCAAATCAGAAGTTATCAACCCAGGCTGTCCATCAGAATCGCCTGGAGAACATTTTTAAGAAATACTGGTGCCTGGGTCTAAGTCAATTTGGGCTGTCACTAAACATCATAGCCTGTGTAGCTTTTGAATAACAGAAAGTTATTTTTACAGTTCTGGAGGCTAGGAAGTCCAGATCAAGATGCCAACAGAGTGGGTGTCCAGAGAAAGCCCATTTTCTGACTTTTGAAAGGCACATTCTCACTGTCATCTCACCTGGTGGAAAGATCAAAGCAGATCTCTGAGGTTCCTTTTATAAGGATACTAATTTGCAATTCATGAGGACTTCACCTTCAGGACATGATCACTTCCCCCATGACCTCTACCTCCTAATACAATCACATTAGTGATCAGATTTCAACGTATGAATTTAGAGAAGACACAAATATTCAGACTGTCGTGTTGAGTATTAACCCAACCCAATTGAATCAGAATCTCTTAGAACTGAGGCCTTATATTAGTAAGACATTGCTATAACAATGCTGTGTAACAAACATCTCAAAGCTCAGCATTCGTTTCTTACTCATAGGTCTGTGGGTAGCCAGAACTTGGCTGATCTATGCTAGCTTAATTCAACTGTAGGTTGGATTCAAGTCAGCGTCACCTATGTTTCATTCTCCTTGGATGGGCGGCTACCTATGTCATGTTCTTTTCATGGTGGGTCACTAGAAAGCAAAATACAAGACAAAATAAGCACATTTAGGGCTTCTGTGCACATCATGTGCAGTAATATCTTACTGGCCAAAGAAAGTCAGGAGCCGAGACCAATATCAGGATGGAAACAAAAATGCTCTGCTCAATAATCCAAAGTATCAAAGGCTCCACCCCAGACAATCCAAACTTCTGGAGTGGGGTATGTGTACTGACAGAGCCCTCTAAAATGCACAGCTAAGGTTGGGATGCTTCCTTCTAAAGAGTGACTCAGGTCCTACACCCATAAACATGCAGTTAGCCCTGTATGAAGTAGTTTCAGTGCTATATATCTGAAATGAAATTTTGCACTTTGGGCAAAGTAAAACTAAAATAGCAGACCACGACAATCAAGCAAAGCACATTGTTTGTACCTGTCAGTCCTTCAAATATTTGAACTCCATCATCACTTTCTATGCCACTGACCTTGGCTCTTTTATTGGGTGTGGGGGGGCCAGGGGTACAAAGGATATAACCCAAGGACACTTAACCATTGAGCCACATCCTCAGCCCTTTTTGTTTTATTTTGAGACAGGGTCTCACTAAGTTGCTTAGGGCCTTGCTAAGTTGCTGAGGCTGGCTTTAAACTTGCAATCCTCCTGCCTCAGCCTCCCAAGCCACTAGGATTACAGGCATACTGTGCCCTGCTTCCTGTTCCTGCTGTGGCCTTGACTTGTGAGGAACAAAATCAGCTTCTCCCCTGTCTTTTAGATCCATTCTTGTTCGTGATTCTCAGTGAAGCCACCAGGAAAGGGGACGGCACACCTGCCCATGAAGGTCAGGTGCAGCCCCTCCATTCCCCCACCCCCACCTCCACTTCCGGCTCTAGGTCAAGACCAATCTCAGCTAATTGTATTTCTTTTGAGGTCTACTCCCAGCTTTGCCTCAGATTCCCCAAGTTTCTTTAGACAAAATCACTTTGTCCTCTGTAGTTTCTTTATGTGTTAAAAAAAAAAAAAAAAGAGTCTGGAGCCAGCATGACCCTTCCAGCTCTGTCAATGGCGAGCATAGGATTATGCAGGTGTGAGAGTGGCCCTCGGAAGCACTGCCTTAGTGAGAAGAGCCCAGGCATGCACCTGGAATTTTTTCCCAAAAGCATGTTCATGAGATGCCTATGAAACTCCCCAAATTGCCTCCTTGATTCTAATAGAACAATTCACTAACCACATTCTCTCAGTCATGGAGACAGGTAAGGAAGAGCGTTAACATAGGCTTCTGGGACCATTTAGGATGCAGATGCTCACCTGCCACAGCATCAGGAGAAGTGAGAACATGCAGGCCTCACTCCCTTTGGCAGGAGAGCCCTGCTTTTGTACGTCCCTTTCTTCACTCCCTGCCTTCATTATCTTTTGCACCTGGATACTTGAGAGTGGCAGTTCATTCACCAACTGCCTTTATGCTAGCCAGAGAGTCCCTGTGTGGTCTGGTCTGGCAGAAGTCCCATTCTGTGCTTGCCTCCTTCCCTCTCCCCCGCTTGACCTATGCCATCGCTTTGGCCTCTGGGACATCCCAGCACCTGCCACATACTTTCTCTCTTTCCAGCCTTTGTGCTTGCTGTTGTCTCTGCCTGGAACCCTCTAACTGAGGTCAGCAACTATCCCCAGTTTGCTTGAAACTGTCCTGGTTTTAGCAACAAAAGACCTGCTTCCCAAGAAACTTCTCAGTCTAGGAGGGTTGGCCACCTAGGGTCCTAAATGCTCACATGGCTGGCTTTTGTTTCCTTCTGTCTCTGCTCCCTGAGGCATCTTAGAGAGTCCTTCTCTGACCACCTCAATTCCCTTTCACTGCTCATCCCTTATTCAAGGCTGAGTTTGTGTGGAATGTATTTATTGTCTGTCTCCTCTGTATATGTCAAGAGCAGGCACCCAGGCTTGTTCCCCATTTAGGG